TCTAAGTTTAATCCCTCTCTTACTTTCGTATTGTACCATTTACTTATATTAGCTCATGTTCTGGATCACATGGTTCCGAATGAATAAAAGTCGCACTTCCGTCTTATCATACCATTCCTAAATGTGGAGGCTTACAATTATTGATTATCATTGCGGTGCACTACTTGAAAACCACATGTATGCGACGTCTTGCGGTTTTCAGAGTCGAAGGCGACACTCAAGTAGATGTTGAAGGGTAACAAATAAAAGTGGCACTTCCGTCTTATCATACTATCCATAAATATTAAGGCTTACAAATATTGACTATCATTGCAGTGCACTATTTGAAAACCACATGGTTGAGACCTCTTGCGTTTTCAGAGTCGATTGCGACACTCAAGTAGATGTTGAAGGGTATCACAAGGATATGCCTTTAGTGATATAATACGGTTGAAAAAGTAATATTTCAATCTTGTAGTTGGTCATCTTTCTAACAAATTGTAATGGTCGACGGTGACTGAATGTTCTCTGATCGAGAGTGCTCGTGTGGGTTGGATAAGGATCTTAAATTTCTTAATGCGAATTAACATATCGAAGTAAAAAAAATTCAACACTACGTGTAAGTGCCCTTTTTCTTATATTCGGTTTAACCCTCGCCAAAAAAAAATAAAAACTCTTTCGGACCTCTCTCTTAAACTCGGTTAACTCTTAAACGAAGATTAAAATGTCTTAGCATCTTCACCCTTCAAGAGTTAAACGTTGCGACTCCTTTTTTTGCGTCACTCTTAAAACGTCACAACTACCTGAAAATTTGTCTTGCCACCTATAACGATGAGTTTTCCGTCAAGAGAATCGTCTTCCCTCGATGTGATATCGAAAGTCGAAACTAAGGTAAGGACCTGCATAAGGTGCATGACCCCTACAAGATGACCTTTTGCCGCATTTGCACGCAAGTGATGGGATGGTTGACTCTCCTTATTGTTGAGGTAATATGCAGACTTCGCGAGTCTCATTACTGGCGTGACGACTCAACATTCGTCAATGAAATTCTCATGATAATTTACTGACAACGTCGTTTCAATGCAAACTTTAGGCATAATCCAGTCCAAAGTTTGACACGTAGTACAATACTCTATAAGTGACATTTAAATTTTATTGTAGCTTAATGTTAAACGTCGTTGTATCTTTATGAGAGTCTTGTGTGCATTATCATTATTGTGAATTGGGTCCTCAAAGTTATGAGGAAAAGTGACTCGTGTGGTTGCAAATTTCCATAAGAGAAACAACATATGCTCTACGTCTTGTTTTTTCTCTTACTGAAAATTAACTGAGAAACAACATATGCTCTACGTCTTGTTTTTTCTCTTACTGGAAATTAACTTACTTTGTTGGAATCTCATATAAGTACTACCCATGCTATACATAGTTTTGTGTCCACTTTCTATCTTTTGAATTTTTCAATGCATCTTTCACCACCCCACTCGATCTTGGTTTTTTATTCGGTCCATCGAGGATCTTGTTTGCCTTGTCTTATCTCGCATTTCTCAAAATATGTGGTTACAAGCTAGTCTACCAGAGTGGCCCAAGGTCACTTGCCTGGCCGGAAAAATAAATAATAATAATAATAACAATAAAAATAAATTTGATTTTTTTTTCAGTAAAGAATTTCGATTTGGCCATGAGCCAAAAGTTGTTCAATTTATTTTTCTGCATAACATAGTTTTTTTTTTTGGTTTTTTTTTTTTTTTTTTTTTTTTTTTTTTTTTTTTTTTTCCGCTGGGACCTTCCCTCGTCCTTGCATGGGCTGGCCACCCGGGACCAGGGCGGCCAGGCTGGTAGCCTAGGTTACTGGTGAAATAGTCAGTTTTATTGCTTAAAATGTTTTTTAAATAATAGTGGTAATTCTTCCTTATAACCATTTAATGCTTTGAAGCTGGCTAGCACGGCGTACGTGTACGCGGGTTGTGCGTACACACGTACACGTATTCCTGTACGGAACACGTACGCACGTACACGTACTCCAGTACATGGGAATACGTAAAAAAAAAACGAAAAAAAACATCGAAAAAATCTGAAAAAAACGTATGTCGTGCACAATGATATTTCAGACAACTTTTGCCTGAGACTCATCGCAAAATTCTGTACCAAACTCGAGTTAAAAATCAAAGACACGAAAACATATAAATAAAAATAAAAAAATAAAAAAATAAGAAAAAAACAGAAAAAATAAAAACAAACTTCTGTAACAAATATATATTATGCAGAAACATGATACAAATAACTTTTGCCTAGGATTCATCCCCAAATTCCTAATCAAACTCGAGTAAGAAAAAAAAAAAAAAAAGGTAATATTATCATAATAATTTAAAAACTATTTAAAATAAATATTTTTATATTATTCTTTTAAAGTTTTGTTCAAGGTTTTGGATTTTTAAATCAAGCTTGGTTGGGAATTCGGGTATGACTGCCAGGCAAAAGTTGTTGTTATCATTATTATGCACAACATACGTTTTTTTCAGATTTTTTTGATT